TGTTAATTGTAGCACTATTTATAATAGGTAAGACTTGGAAACAACCTAAATGCCCCAAAAGATGTAGTCTATATACACAATGGAATACTATACAACAACCAAAAGATAAAGGAATGCCATTCACAGCAACATGGATAGAGCTAGAAGGGATTATGCTCACTGAAATAAAGAGAAAGAAAGAAAAATATCAGATGTGGCCCTCCCTGGTGGTGCAACAGGTTAGGACACAGTGCTGCAAGCTAGCCTCAGTGTTAGTTTGATCCCTGGCCCCAGAGGTGATCCATACGGTGCCACAGACCTCTCCTGGCCCACCCACTGCTCCCCTCAGCAATGTACTTCATTGATCTGCTTGTTCTGATCTCCACTCTATCTCTGGTGAAGCTTCTCACTGGCCCTGTACCTCTGGCCTGTACCCCAGTTCTATATGCATAAATAAATAAATCTTAAAAAAAAAAAGCCACTAAGGCTGCAGAAGTCCTTTAAAAAAAAATCAAATGCTTTCATTTATAGGAGGAATATAAGGTAACCAAATAAGGCATTAGGGAACAAATAATAACAATAAAAAACAAAATAAAAATAAACAACTATAATTCAGAGACTATGGTGATGGTGCATGGATGAACTGGTGGTGGAAATTCTATGGAAACTACACCTGAGAAAAGAAAGCAAACATTGTAAAAAAAAAAAAAAAAAGAACAATGATGTAAGATATATAAATAAATATACTAAATTATATGTGTATTATATGTAAATAAATATATGCTAAAATAATTTGTAATAAAAATGTTTTATCTGTGCACAGCAGGCCCCATCTCACTGACTGCTGCTTTTAGTAGTGTATTCCAATAAATCCAACTGTTCTGTTCTCAAAAATAAATAAATAAGTAAGTAAAAGTTTTATTGGGAGGGGGGAATCAACATCAGGTCTTGGCCTATTGTTATGAGATTGTCTGGAGTTAAGAAAATGGAATCCAGACTAAATTTATAAATGAGTAATCTATGTCACTATTAAATTATGAATAGTAAAAAATGTGATAATATCTTCCAGTATTGAAAATTATCTGATATGGAATTAAGTCAATCACAGAACTGAGGAATGATAAAGTTCTACATATTTCAAGAATGTGATAAATTGTGTCAGATGTTGATGGCGGGTCAAGTAAATTGAGAATAAAGAATATGATTTACCAGATAAATCACTGGTGACTTTGGTAAGTGGAACAGTTACCAATGGTTGAGGAAGTAAGAAAGGTAAGACAGCGTGCATAGTAATAAGTCTTTGGAGAGATATAAGGAAGCAGAGATATGGGGGGAGGTAACTGCTGGGCAAACTTCTCTCTTTTTTAATATGGGAGGTATTAAGGCATGTAAGATGTTGGTAGGTATGATTCAGCAGGGAGAGAGAAGAGAGAGGTCAGTGAGCAAGAGAGGGATGAAGTGAACATTAAGTATTTTGAGTAGTCTTAAAAGAATACAATTCAGAGGAGAGGATTGAGATAGCTGTTGGCCTTAGGTTTAAAAAAAAAAAAGCACTGATTTTATACAATTACTATGAGGCTCCAACTAAATTAACCAATGTGAGAACATTTCATATGCTGTCAGAAATTAAAAAGGATTATCAAACTCTGCCAAGGGAATGATGGAACTTACTATATCCAGATTCCACTTGCAGGTTCACAATTACTTTCATTAATTTATCCTAAATCAAGGGTAACTTTCACAATAATCATGATTCCACTGATAACTTTTTAGGCTTCATAAAAAAAAAAAAAAGCCTGCAAATTGTTTGGATCCTCAGTTTGCCCTACTTTAAAAGTTGGAAAAGAGTAGTAAGATTAATTTTCTGGGACAAGAACCTATACTTCCTATTTTTGTTTCCCCTGTTAAGTTTTCGTAGACATATAAATGTGTCTTGTGATATTTACTACTTTTGTAATTCTCTTTTCCTTTCCCCCTATGGTTCTTTAAGGGGAGAGGAGGGAAAACAAGCACTAACCTACCCCTTGAGTGCAAATCAAAGCCACAATGAGCTACCACCTCACAACTGGGATAACAGCTCGTATCATAAAGACCAGAAACAAGAAATATTGATGAGGATATGGAAAAAAGGGAACTCATACAAACTGTTGGTGGGAACGTAGACTGGTCCAGCACCTATGGGACAGTATTCAGCTATTTAAAAAGAAGAAGAAGAAGAAGAATGAAGAATGCTCGCTAACCCTAACAAATGGGTGGAACTACAAGGGATTACACTAAGGGAGATAGATCAGGAGAAAGACATACCATATGGTGTCACTGGTACGTGGAATATAGAGAAAGAAAACAGAGTTAGTCACTATTAAATTATGGACAGGAAAAAAACTGACATCTTCCAGTATTCAAATTTATCTGATACAGAAATAAGTCGATCACAGAACCAAACAAATAACAAACCCTAGAAATGGAGGTTACCAAAGAGGGAGAAAGAGCAGAGACAGAAAAGAGTGGAGGGGGTATGGTTTAGGGCTCTGACTTCCAGGTGATCCACCTGAAGGGGATGACCTGTACCTCTAAATCATATACAACATTATAAATCAATCTTGCTTCCGCCCAAAAAACCAAAAACCAACCCCCCCCCATCCAATTGTTTCCCTTTCACTATCTAAACAATGAAAAGACCAAAAACTATTTTCATGTATGGACATAAGTCCAGAAAAAAATGTGAGGTAGATTAAGGAGTATTTCTTACTGGACTTGAAGGTTTAGGAAGTCATATCTGGGCGGAAGGGACGAAGTGGGAGCTGTCAGAGCAGCCTGGGCAGAGACAGCTTTTCAACCGTATCAATGACGTTCAAGTCCTGGCGGAGTTAATTCGAGTCAAAAGTGACCCAGAGGTGGAGATCTAGTGGCCATTTGGAGATACAAAGGTCCTTGACCCAAGGGGACATAGGGCCCAGATCTCCCAGCCATTGGGTCTTCCGGGCCCTTACACACCACAGGCACAGACCAGGAGCTACAAAGGCGAGCCACAGCGGGCAGGCGAGGGAGACCAGTCTCCTCACCTGCCAATGGTCGCCACTGCTCAGCGCGTTTCCCAGTAACGCTGCAGACGGAAATGACGTAAATCTAGTCCAGATCCCCCTCCCTGCACAACTCCCTGAGCCCCTTGTCTTTGAGCTTTCCACCATGTTCTCTGGGAGTGGAGCGATCTAAAGCCAGAATATAGATGACAACTGGACCTTTTAGAGATGGACAATCACTGTGAATATCAATGACTTGGAAGCTAAGGGTTTTGGAAACTAAAGTGATATTTTGTGAAATTGGCCTCAAAATATAATATCCAGCCACATCAAGCAAGGACTTTTTATAGAGATGTTGGAGAAATATAGTGAAATCTTTTACTGTTTCTATGTTGGTGCTGGGCTTTTTGTATATGGCATTTATTACACTAGCTGTTTCATCATTTCAGGGTTAGGGAGTAAAATTTCTTTAAGACATCAGAAAAGAGGTTGGTACAGCGGTGGTGCAACCAATTATTTTTTTCACTTAACATCAGGAACCCCTTTTTAGACTGCATGTCCCTTAAGTTTGGTGTTCCTGGGTACCTTAGCCGTATACTAAGACTTAGTGATCTAGTGCAAGTCTCTCCCTCTGACTTCTGTGACCTTGCGGCTGTATTCAGATTGGGCTACTCTCCACTGGAAAGCCAGGAGCTAGAAGAGATAAAGGTTGGAAAGCAAAGCATTTTCATGAGCCAATATCCTGAGAAGAGAGGATTGAACTACCTAAGATGCCACCTCAATTACAAAGTCAGTAGAGGGGTATTTAGAGGGAGTGAGGAATGTAGTCTCTATGGATTCACAAACAATTAGCTTTTCTTTGACGTTGTCTTCAGGTAATAGGGCATTAATCTCAACAGGGCTGGGGGCTGTTTTGGGGGTCTGGGGCTGGTTTGAGTCTGGGTCATCATGATCTTATGAACATTTGCCTTTACTTACTATTGTAATAAAACCTGTTTTGTTTTAAGGAAGTTAGAGAAGGAACATTTTAACGTAGTTCATTATCTCCTAAGGGCTAGCTAATTGGGTAACTGGAAAAACAAGTGAAAAAGCAAAGCACTTTATTGACAAAGCAGCAATTTACAATCCAAGGAAGGGAATGGATTGCTAGCAAAGGCCAGCAAGTTCAGCCTCTGGGGATGCAGAGAGCCCCCTCTTTCAACAAATAAACCTTTATTCCGCATTTTTTCCTCATTACAAACAGAATTACAGTATTTATTGAATAAAGTGTTTATAAATAAAAAATGTATTGTTTACTGAAAAATTATGATACACCTTATGCTGACAGGACAAGTTTCCTGGACTCAGGATCTGGTATCAAAAAAAAGTCAATTTGCCTGCTGCCGGAATCTCTCAGGGTACAATGTCCCCAGTAACATTTTCTCTGAGGAAGATAAGGTGAAACCTATTGTTAATAATTGCCCAGGAAGTTTGTAGATAACAATTAAGGACATAGCAACACAATTGTATAAATTTTGTAAAATGTGCTGTGTCTGAGTGACCATAAGAAAATGAGAAAAAAATGTTATGTTAAAATTAAAAAAAAATAGAATAAAATAATTTATATGGTATAAACTTAGTTTACCAGTTTAAAAATAAGTTCTTTCAGAATATCGTTTCCTTGAGTGCAAATAGATGTTATAGAAAAAAACACTAAATAATCCCTCAAGATGAATTACCTCTGTAGAATTTAATATAAAAGTGAATAAACATGGTAAACAGAAATTGAATTATCTAATGAAAAGTGAAGTTCTCCTTGTTTGTCAGATGAAACCAGACCTCACATCACAAAGCCATCCACTTTTGTCTCTTTGTATTAATAAAATAACAATTTTAACATAATAAAGCATCATAGTCCAGAGTTAGAAATAGACCCAAGTAAAACTACAGGTGGCTTAAGGTGAAGTGACTCTCCAAGGGTCACACCATTGAACTTCTTCAGCATGATTTTCCATTTTCCTACTAGTTCTCAGAAGATCCTTGACTCCTGGCTCTCTCTGTCTCCATGGCAAGACTGTCTGCCCTCAAGGCCACAGCTAGTCTCTCCCTTGCTTTTTTCACTTCCAGAGACTGTTTGCGAATATCTCCAGCTGTTACTGGTTGACTGTAGTGGGGTTGTGGGAGATAGAGACCCACTCCTGGGAGTAACTCTACCCAATTTGATGACTGTGCTGTGCTGCTCTCAGGGCTGGTGTATAGAGATTCAGGACTACCACTGCCCAGGAACTCATGAACATTTTTAAAGGTATTTGTGAAATCCAAAGTACTCAGAAGTTCTCCTTCACTACTGCAGGCCTGGAGTCCCTGCAATCTCCTATATGCAGAGATTTGCTGGGGCTTCTTCAGGGTCTCCTCATTTGTATCACACCTGACTTCATTGCCGGGATGGGAAATTATCCTGGTGACTTGCTTCTTGAAAATACAGCTGGTGAGTCTTATAGGAAATGTACGCCTTTCACGATGTCTCCGTTTGGTCTTGGCTACATGGATTCGTCTTTTCTTCTCTAAAGTCTGGGACATCATAGGTCTTTTGAGCCTCCCCTTTGAAAACAAGGTGAGATGAGAAATTTGAATAAAGAGGTAAGATTCAACTATGGAAAATGTTGTCAGGTCACTTGGATCTTTCAACATTCTATACATTTCCAGAAGGCATAGATCTTATATTTGCACTGTGCTTCACCTCATCTGCAGTTTTAAAACTCCGTTTTCTGGATCAACACAACAAACCCTGGAGTAGGGCCAATTTTTTGCATATCTAAGTAACCCCAACTGCTGCTGCTACTGTTGCTATAAGTACTGCACATTCAGACATCAACAAACATGAACCGAGAACAGAAAGGTCAAGGTCATTGTCCATTATCAGTTACTGGTCATTTCTCTTCACTATCCTCATTTAGCATATTTCTCTTCCCATTCTTGTCAATGCCAACTACACACATGTGAGCCCTCCCTGTATCACCAATATTTGGACACAGGGATCAGATTTTTTTATTTTCTAAGATTTCCAGTTTGTGCTTTTTTACTATGCTTTGGCATACAGTCAATTTTCATAATCCTTTACTTCCCTATCTCCATTAAAAATCACCTTTCGATACTCCTTTGCACATCAAAATCCTATCTTTACTCAAGGATTCTCTTGTTCATAAACAAAAAACTCAGAAACACCCTATTCTCATTACAGAATTCCAATTTTTTTTGTACAAAATCCTCCACTGTAATTTTATTTTACTCCCAGACTCTTTTCCTTAGCTCCTTCTGGGCTCTAATTTGATTCATCTTTCATGTGAGTTCTTTCTCATGTTTGTTCTACATCCTTATCTTCTTCTAGTTAATCATTCATTCCCCTGATTTCAAATGAATTAGTGCAGACCTAACTTCAGGCCAGAGACTTAAAATACCCAACTGTCTGCTCACCACATCAGTGATAACATCAATGACTCAGCTCACAGAGATAAGAGCCCCAAGCCAGTTAGCTAGTGCCCAAATAACTTTCCCCTGTAAATGTCCCCAATATTCACTGTTGGTCCTTAGATCCTGTCTACCTCTGAGTGTCATTCTGGACACCATGCCTCCCCAGTCTTGTATCAGGGAACCATCCATTCACTGGCCTGAATCCAAGAAAAGTCTGAACTTTATAATCATTCTTGCCACCTTTCAGATTTCCTACAAAATATTTCCATAGTTGACTTGCCAGCTCAAAATATTTTTAAAAAATTGCATCTTATTTTTTAAAGAATTACTATTTTTCTAATGGTTCTTTTTAAATTTAATATTCAATGAAGAGATGACTTTCATAGTTTACCTTGTCATATTCATTTATTGCTTCAATCTTAGGAGAAATTGCTTAATTTATTGAAAAAAAAACCCTTTTGAAATATTTTGGAACAAATTTAAACAACTACCATTATATAATGATATAATCTCATTTGTGGTATAATCCAATAAATTGTCCATGCCTAGTATTTCAAATCTATTCTCTGTAATCCATTATAAGGTCACAAGTAATGTTTTAAAATGTAAATGCAATAAAAGTACATTTACTTTTGAATTTCTAATTTCTGTCTTCAGAAGACTTTAAAAAATAAATTGCACTTATATTGTTCTGCCAAATTATTAATAGCTTCCATTTCATTACCCAAGATGACGGGAATCTTATTTGTTCCTCCCATTTAGAGTGCCTAATCTATGCCACATTGTGTAATAAATCCTTTCATCCAGAATTTAATTTAACAAAGTCATTTCTCCTGTTTATTTAAATCTTGAAGAAAGAGTCAATTGCATTATTGATTGTCTAATATAATGTTAGGTATAATTAAATGCTGTGATAATCACTAAGGCAGACACACAGAGAGAATGAAAAGAGGGAGGGATAAAGGAAGACAGGTAAGAAGGAATATAGAAAAAAAAAGCTATAATTATTGTTAAAAAGATTAAATAAGGACTGATGACGGATCTAAATGTATTTGATCAGAGAACAGAATTTTAAGAGAAGACCATATACATTATCAATAAAGCATTTTCTATTGAGGGGAAAATTTAAACAATGCAGGGACAAACATTACTTCCCATTCTTAGGATGTTTTTAGTGAAAATAAAACAAAGCATCTGTCCCAGGATCCCAGAAGTTTCATATACAAAAACGGTGATACCTTAAACATTAAAAAAAAAACAACACTAACATCTAGGAAGAAATAAAGTTTTAAGACCTACTGTCTTCTCCCTTCAAGAGGTTTCCCAGGCTGAAAATGTAGACAACTGATCAATCTTGCTGTAAGTATTTCCACACTTACCAGAACAGGCTGCCTTGGGAAGCTGGTTGATGCAGGCTCTTCCATGGCTGCAGGGTTGTTCTTCTGGTCCCAGTCCTGTGATGCAGACAGTAGGTGGCTTTCTGGAAAAGGTAGTACTTTCTGCCTTCGATTCCCCTTTTATAGAGGAAGGAAGTGGATAATCCACTTAGTGGATAATCCTTTCAGTGGGTAATCCAGAAGAGGCATCCAGTCTCATATTAATGGGATTCCTAAATCTTTATGTGGAGTTACTGACACTATCACATATTGTCACAAATGAAAAAAAAAACAAACAATACATTGGCATGGAAGGTGCTGATAGTTTTTATTTCTATTAATGTTTTCTTCATTTTTAATAAAACATTAAAACTATAAATACAGTCTATAGAAATAACAAAAGTTTCTGTGTACAGAAATCTCCATACAATTTATTCTTGAATAGGAAAATTTAGTGTTTAATTATCAATATGTCCAGTTTACTAAGTTATTAACAAAAAAACTGGCATCTTTGGGTTTAAATTTTCCCTAATTACTTGTAAATTTGAGATTATTTCAAACATCTTAGTCTTTTCTTACCTTTTAACCCTTTTAATGTTCCTTTAATCTCTTTACCTCATTGACTTTGATTAAACTTTTATTATTCCATTATTCACTTTATAAAATTGTTACAATCGTGTACAAATCTTTGTGTGATTACTCTAATGACTAAATCATGAATTTTTTAATTAATACAGTCTAATAGAAATTACTTTTAACTACTTCCCCAATTTCTAATATCTTCAAACACTTTCATCTTTAGTGTTCACTACTTTTGTGCTATTATTCTCATGGATTTTAGTTCTACATATATTTTAATCTTTATGAGACAGTTCTAGACTGTTTTATGAAACAAAATTCATTTCTATCAATTTATAAATTATCCATTCCTTTCCAGTTCATTCCATCCACATTCCTGGTTTCCAATACTGGACTAAAAAACTAACGCTAATATTTTTTTTTCTAATTCAACTGTGTTAAAAATGAAGTATTTTACTTTGGGTTTTCCTTAAGAAATCTTAATTTGGGGCAATTCTGTTTTGGATTGTAGAATTCTGGTTTGACCAGAGATTTACTTTAGCTCTTTGAAATGTGTTCTGATGATAATTTTTATCTACTATGTTTATCTATCCAGCACCAGTGAAACATTTTCTTGCTTATTGGGTGGCCTTTTATGTTCTTAGAAATTTTTGTCATATTAACTTTGTTTTTTAGACCTGGTGTAACTCCTTTATGTTTCCTGTATATATACTTTTATTTATTCAGAAGAGGCAATCCTTGAAAAACCCCAAAGACAGCTGGTCAAACTGTCAAAGTCCAGTGTGTTAAAATCTCCAGATGCCACAAAAACAGTACCAGGATATAGAATTAGCACAGTCGCTGTCCACTTCAGCTCCATTGGGGTGGATTTTAATTTCCAAAAGACTAAACTGTTTGAATCTTTTATCAATTAATTGCCACCTTTGATTGGGAGATATACTGCTAGATGGAGTCTCTGAAAACTTATCTTAAAAGAATAAATGATGCTGAAACTGTGGACGTGAGGATTTTCAGTATTGGAACAAATCCACAGACTAAAGTGAAGGTAGATTAAGACTTTAGTTTTGGTTATTTCTAGCTTTTCTGGGAGGATGGCGATTCCATAAAGCTCAAACTTGTTCTCACACTGCTCCTTTTGTACATATCCCCAAGTTTTAAGGTTTAAAATCCAGTCACCATTGGCTGTAACAGACGACTTAGCCATAAATCACTGGCTGCAAGAAAGAGCCATAAGATTTGACTTTCATTCATCCCTAATGAGAGTCATTTCCTGGTGACAGCCTCCAGGTATGGCGATGAGGAGAAGCTCTGCACAACAATCACTTCGTTGTCCTTTATGCTCCATCTCTTCTTGTGCCCACCTCAGAAACACCCCCTGTAAAATTGCTCCCCCTCTAGCTTTGAAAACATTTGCCAATTTTTTTTAGCAAGGGATTCTAGTTCAAGGACTGAAATCTGCACCATTTGTACTCCAGAAAGAGTTCCGTAAAGAAAAGACTTAGATGTTGGTCCAGATTCCATGCAAAACCATTTTAAACAAAAACTGATCCAATTTGTTTCCATTTTGCCCAATAGCATCTTGAATTCATTTTTCCCCCTCTAACCTTTACTATTTAAAGTTCCATTCATTTTCATGAAACTTGTTCCCTCAGAAATGCTAGCTGCAACAGCTCTTTTCTTAAGAATTCCATGCAGGGGCCCTCCCTGGTGGCACAATGGGTTAAAGCACAGAACCATGAAGCTTGCTGCAGCCGCTTCACCTCAAGTTAGATCCCTTGTGAGGGAGGTGACCCACATGGTGTGGCAGACCTCTCCCAACGCTCCCACTGCTCCCTCAGCAGTGTACTTCATTAATCTGTCCGTTCTGCTCCCTACTCTGTCTCTGGCGAATTCTTAGTGTTGGCAGCTGGGCGTCTCAACTCATCCTTTCACTTCTTGTGTAGGGCTTCTTTTGCCCCTGGTCTTGTGTTTGTGCTAGTTGTCCAGAGCTCGGTGCTGTCTGGAAAGAACTCTTTTTTTTTTTT